CCGGTCATCAGGACTACCAGCCCAGTCTGCATAGATGGCGCAGGCTGCAGAAGCAAGCCATGATAAGAAGTGAGGCAGACATAACAAAGAATCCGCTTCACGGCTCACCAATGAGATGTCCTGGGTGCATGGAGAAACTGACAGACACGGTTGACTGCATAAGAGACGTCTGGTCTGGTGATAGTAAGATACTGGAGACCACCAACAAGACTGCGGTACTCAGTAGCATCATCAGATGAGAGAGGATCTCCATCAAGAGCAGACAACCGATCAGTGGCCGACATCGGAGTGCTGGCAGGTTTACATTTCAGCATTCCAGCACGACGCAACAAGTCCAGAGAGTACTTCTGAGTAAGAGTGAGCCGAGCAAAAGAGCGTGAAACCTCCAGACCAAGAAAGAAGTGCAGAGCACCTAGATCCTTGACAGCAAAATCACCACTCAAGGCAGCCACAAGACGATCTGCAACAGCATTTGAGGAACTGATGAGGATGATATCATCAACATAAACCAGCAAATACATCATAACCTCAGGACGCTGAAGAAGAAACAATGACGTGTCAACAGTGGAGGGAATAAACCCAAGCGCCCGGAGAACAGAGCCGAGGCGTGCATGCCATGCACGGGGAGCCTGCTTGAGCCCATAGAGCGCCTTAACCAGACGACAGAGATGGTGAGGACGGTCCGGATCCACAAACCCTGGCGGCTGACGCATATAAACCTCCTCCTCCAAGACTCCATGCAAGAAAGCATTCTGCACATCAAGCTGACGAAGGAACCATCCTCGAGTAACAGCCAAAGACAACAGCAAGCGAATGGTAGTGGGCTTGATAACCGGACTGAACGTGTCTTCATAATCAAGACCATACCTCTGTTTGAAACCCTTGGCAACGAGCCGCGCCTTGTAGTGCTCAATAGAACCATCAGCATGTCTCTTGACTTTAAAAACCCACTTGGAATCAGTAATGTTAACACCAGACTGTGGGGGAACAAGGCGCCAAGTGTCATTCTGAAGCAGAGCCTGAAACTCCTGTTCCATTGCTGCACGCCAATGAGGAATAGCCAGTGCAGCCTGAAAATGATGAGGCTCAGCAGTGGGATCAGCAGTAATGTGTGCCATGCAAGCAGCGAGCCATGCGACAGTCCCGTCAGTGCGCTGCTTTGGCTGGAAAACCCCGTTCTGGCTGCGGGTGCGAGGTCGGAGAACATCAGCAGCCGGCTGCGCTAGCGAGACCGAGCAGCACAGGCGACGGCACCAGAGACGAGGCGGTCGGCGAACCAGCCCGCGGGGAGACCGGTGGGGTCAAGGCAGTCCAGGCCGGCCCATCTGGCGCGGGCGAAGTGGCTGCCGGGCCGGGCGAGGTAGCCAAGGGCCCAGCCACCAGGCCGGGAGAGAGCGACGCCCACGGGGCGGGTGAGGGCGTCCCCCGCGGGACGGATTCCACCGAGGCGGGTGAGGGCGTCGCCCGCGGGGCAGCTGCCACAAAGCCGGGCGAGCCCGCGCCCGTTATGCATGCCCCATGCAGCGGATCTCGTCGCGCTCCAGAGGCACTCCTCGAGCTGGAGTAGCATCCGGCACCTGTTCATCAAGTAGCTCGAGCCGAGCACCACGTCCAATACCTGCAGCATGATTAGGGAGCAACACAGGAGCATTTGCAACATTCACAAATTGGTCAGGCAAAGATACGATGGAGTGAACAGGTGGCATAGGAGTTGCAGAGTTAGTCGAAAGTGCATGAAAAGGAAACACATTCTCATCAAAAACAACGTCACGAGAGATGTAGACGCGATTGGTGGGAACGTGTAGGCATTTGTACCCTTTGTGAAGGGAACTATACCCAAGAAAAACGCACTTTTTAGACCGAAACTCTAACTTACGTTTGTTGTATGGACGCAAATGGGGCCAACATGCACTCCCAAACACTTTTAGAAAAGTGTAATCTGGGATTTCATTGAGCAAGAGTTCAAGAGGAGTTTTCATATGCAGAAGTCGTGAGGGTAGCCTGTTTATCAAGAAACACGCGGTGGAGAAAGCATCACTCCAAAACCGAAACGGCACGGAGGCATGAGCTAGCGAGGTAAGGCCAGTTTCTACAAGATGACGATGCTTACGTTCAGCGGTTCCATTCTGCTGATGTGTATGAGGACAAGACACACGGTGCGAAATCCCAAGCTTGTTAAAAAAAGTATTGAGGTTGTGATATTCAACCCCCCCCCCCCCAGTCGGATTGAACATGAATAATTTTCTGCTTAAGGAGACGCTCAGCATGTGCTTGAAACTGAATAAAGACATCGAACACATCAGATTTTCGCTTAATAAGATAAAGCCAAGTAAACCGACTATAAGCATCAATGAAACTGACATAATAATTATGGCCACTAACGGATGTTTGGGCATGGCCCCATACATCAGAAAACACAAGCTCAAGAGGATGTTTCACAACACGACTAGACTCTGAAAACGGAAGTTGGTGACTCTTGCCCTGCTGACAGGCATCACAAATTGTTTCAGCAGTTTTATTGGACACAACTGGTAGTTCATGACGATGTAGCACATGACGAACTATAGGAGCAGCAGGGTGACCAAGGCGCGCATGCCAATGTGTAGGTGACACACGAACACCGCTGAACGCCTGAGGAGAAGACTGCATAGAAGATGTGGGCAGCGCGTCAAGTGCATATAAACCATGGCAAAGACGGCCACTAAGCAGAACGGCCCTCGTGTCCCGGTCCTTGATAAAGAAACAAAAAGGGTGAAACTCAGCAAGGACATTATTATCACGAGTAAGTTGAGGAACAGACAACAAACTATGTGTAGCAATGGGAACTCAAAGCACATTAGAAAGATGCAGTTTTCGAAAGTTGTGTGCAATAAGTGAGGCCTGACCAACATGGGAGATGTGCATACCTGCTCCATTGGCGGTGCGAACCTGATCATGACCGCGATATGGCTCCTGAGTGGAGAGCTTGCCCATCTCGCTGGTGAGGTGGTTCGTAGCTCCCGTGTCCATGTACCATGTAGGATCAATGGAGTAGGATGGAATGCGTCCGTGCTCATGACTCGTCACCGCAGCAGCCGCCTGCTTTTCATTCCCTTTGCCGTTGTTGCCTAGGCCAAGGAAGTCTTGCTTGTAGCGACGATGACAGCGGGAGGCTATGTGACGCTCAATGCCACACAGTTGGCAGGCCTGCTGGGCACTGCAGCAAGGGCAGCAAGCCACCGGCCGAGACCCGCCAGTGATGAATGGTGCGGTGCTCCGTGAAGTCGGCTGAGATGAAGCTGTCGGCTTGGGGGGGAGCGACGGCTTCTGTGGTTTGCCGCTCCTGGTCGCGGCATTAGCGGAGGCAAAGCTCGGGGAGGCACGACGCGCCTTGATGCGTTGCTCGCGACCAAGAAGGCGCGCATAAAGTTCCCGTGGCGAAAGAGGCGCCTCGCGACCATGAACATTCTCGATGAGATTATCATAGTCATCATCGAGGCAATTGAGCACGTGGGTGGTGAAGTCCTCATCTCCAAGTGGCTGACCGATCGAGGCCAAGGTGTCAGCGAGACTGGACATCTTGTTGAAGTACTCTGTGATGGTCATGCCGTCGAGCTTCGTCTCCCCCAACTCAGTGCGTATGGAGTGAGCACGCGCTTGAGATTGGGAAGCAAAACTGCTGTGAAGCGCAGACCAGGCCTCCCGGGACGTCGCAGCGAAGATGACAAGCGACGACACGCTCGGGGTGAGCGACGACTGGATGGCCGAGAGGATCGTCTGGTCCTGAGCCACCCACACGTGATGAGCGGATGATACGGCGGCGGACACGGGATGGAGCCATCAACATAGCCCTCCAAATAGCGTCTCCGGAGGAGAGGTAGCACCTGAGCCCGCCACGACAAGTAGTTGTCCGGCGTAAGCTTCACCGGAAGGAGATGCGAGAAGTAAAACGGCGATAGAGCCGGAGCGTAGCCCGCAGGAGCATGTGTCGGGGGCACATGAAACCCCATCATCGGATCAGCATCAACGTGAGGAGCGAGCTCATAGCCAGTGGCAGCCGGGGCAATCGGTGAACCGAGCGGGGCCCCCAAGGGCACGGCGGGTGCCGCGCCGTGAGCCGCCCATAGGGCTGCGGGTGCGACGGGGCCACCTGGGACGACGTAGGCGTCGATCCATAGGGTGACGCCGGCCAAGCAGGAGGCAGCGGCGGTGCGGCGCCGTAGGTTGGTGCAGGGGCGCCATACCACGCGCCGTAGGGCTGAGGGGCGCCGTAGGGCTGAGGGGGAGCCACCCCATACGCAGGCGCCGCAGGGCCGCAAAAGGACGGCAGCGCCAAGGTGATGGTCGAGGGAGCAGCGCCATGGGAGGCGATCGGCGATGGATCGCCCTACCCGCCCTGCCCGTCCTGCCCGACCAGAGGGCCCGCGGGCGGCAGAGGTTGCCGCCAGGCGGTAGCGAGCGGGTGCGAGGCAAGGAAGGGCGACGACGGGGCGATCGGGGCGACGGCGCGGCGGCGGCGTTGGAGGAGGCCATCGCGGCGGCGGCGGCGGTAGGAGATGCAGCGGAAGACATAAAACCCTAGTCTGATACCATGTTAGATGAGAATATTGGGGCAACTGCTCGACACCCTAAGGGGGTGCGGCTATCTCATTATATATAAGTACCAAAGGGTACAAGTACAAGGTATATGCACAAGTCTACGTATACACAAGTCTACGTATACATATACAGTCTAACAAGGTTCAGTTTGTGGTTGCTGAACTATGTTGTGCTTAACTTATTCTAAAATCTGCTGCAGAAAAATAGCCACGAAAGCAGGAAAAAACATGTTAACCAAACTGGAGAATAGATCCAAATGGATGCTACACTCTTTAGTGATGATAAAAAAAACGCTCCTAGGCATGTGCTTAAGCGTGTGCTTAGGTGAGATAGGCGCCAGCAAGAGGAAAAACAAGGAATTTACGTCTAGTAAAAAATTTAACCTTCATTCCAAGACACTGAAACTTACTCAAAAAGCGATAGCGACGCAAACCCAAGATGATGCCATCTTCAAAAACGTGATGGTAAAAGTGACAGCCGGTTTCGAAGTTATCACCAGCATTGGTGTGCCCAGATATATCTGAAAAGTTCACAACAAGAACATTGTCGTCCCCAACAACTTTCTGTAGACTAGTCCTTGTGTTCTCTATATATGGCCCCTGAAACCAAAATAAAATAAAATAAAGTTATATGCAATCTCAATATACTGGTAACCAATGCTCAATATGGAAAATAGAAGAAAACAAAAAAGAACATTTTACATATGGTGTCTCTACGACTCTACCTATTCACAGCAAGTCAACAACTAAGACTAGCATTTTTTTAATGACTGTCAAGTGAGATCCTCCACAAAAATCGCAGTTGATAATTTGAAATTAATATAGAAAAGAATAGGCAGATAAATTCATAAATATTCTCCAATGTTGCAACGCTAGAGAAGAAATGACACATGAACTTGACCATCCTTAATTTCTTAAATTACTGAGCAATTAAAATGTTCAGCTAAATATTTGATTAACAAGATGTAAATACCACTCGACAGCTGTGTATATATAGAACACTGTTTTGGTGCCCATGAGTGCCTACATTCATGTTTCTGAAATGTACATGATGATATTTAAACTTTGCACATACTAATAACATTGCACACGCTACATCGACGAATTCTCAGACTAATGGAGCATCAAATCAAGCACTTTCTACAAAATAGGCCACCCGTGAGCATCAAATAATTTTCTAATTAGGAGATTTGGAAAAACTGATGTGTATCCTAGAGTAATGGATACAACTCAAGAGAACAAAGTAAACTTCCGAACCTTGAAAACCGTAACTACAGAATCGCCTCTTTGCTCGATATGGCAATGGTACACTCTTGTCTTGCTTGGGTCCCAATCAAGATTCTACAAGTATCAGTTCAATGATAATTCCATGAGACGCATGCTGGCATTTATAGAGAGAGAACACGCGGACAAGGAAAATATATTTGACTTATCCAAATGGGGACTATAAATTTCACATATCAATAGGCATCAAATGGTGGGTGCTATTGCAACATGAGCCTACAGGTGCGTTCCCGGAGATGCATAATATGGGCTATGGCCTAAACATATATTCTCATTAAACTTATACATGAGTCAGCAAGATAAAAAGGTAAAAAATTCTTGGTTTTTAAGTAAACTGACTAAATATCCACAATTAACAAACAGAAAGTTATCAAAGGCAGAGCACAGAACGGATATATCCATCAAAATAGAAGAAACTATGCCATAAATGGACATGTAACAATATTGGGTGGGTGGGCGCGTGAGTCATCCTGTATTAGCTGTATACATGATAGGCAGTAGTAAACATAACAGATAATAATAAGAGAACAAAACCTGTCTCCTGTCACACTCTGCTAGAAACTCGTGACCAAATTTGTTCCATATTTCCAACTCAAAACGATCCATGGGCAGTGAATTCAAGGACCTAATATAGTCCTCATGTAGTACACCCACGTCTTCTATCTTCTTCCTACAAATGAGGGCAAGAGATCAGTAGCAACATAATGAAGACAGCAGATATCCACAACAATAGGTGCGCGCGTTGTACGGTAGCTTATTTGTTCGCTAAAGGGAAATATAAACCAAATTAAGACTTACCCTGCAAGATAGACATATATCATGAAAATCTGAACAAACTCTAGCTCTCCCAACGCTAACAACTGACGGCTCGCGGTTGCCCTTGATGCGTTTGCAGTAACAAGAGGGTCTGCTGGCATCATGCACTCCATGGTTGGTGATGCTTGGACCCCCACAGTTCCTGATGGGCACCCCATCTGATGCACACGCCTTGTGATCTCGCGCACTGGACTTGGGGTGGAAACCATCCTTGGAGACGTAGGAATGATCTGCCGGACCGGGCTATCAAACCCCACCTGATGCTGCAACCCAGACACCATGCCGAGGCCAGGGCTCCCAACTTGCACCATAGCCTGGTCTGGCACCCCATGGGCCAATGGCGGGGTAGGACTACCAACCTGCAACGGTTGTACCTGGTCTTGCATCCTGAAAGACGGATGCTCGACAAACTCTTCCATTCCTCCTTGGTTTGGCATCACGGGTAACATTTCTGGGACATTGCAATCAGGTTTATCAACCTCCATTGCAACTGGGTTCGGCAACAAGCAAGCAACTGCCCGAACAGGGCTCCCGTTGCTGTTGCTATGTAAACCGTGAGGCGTCTGACGGGCAGGGCTTTCGACCTCGATCATGGCATGGTTTGAGAGATTGAAAGCCAATTCACTGCCTGGAGCGTTATCGTCCATTTGAACATCATCATCGTGCATTGGTCCCAGTACAGAGTCATCTGTTGGATGAAAGACTTCATGATTAGAGTACTGTAACCGTGGTAACACATGGTGGTAAAACGAAGAAAAATAACCAGGAGAATTTTGATTCAGAGAAAGGTGTAGATTGGCATATCAGAGACATTTTTATTGCAGAACACACACGGATCAGATGAACTCGAACCCAACAAGCTCCAAAACAATAAGGTGGCAAAGAGGAAGTCGATCAATGTGCTTGATTGCTTGAAGCAGCAATCGCTGTAGCCACGCAAGCCAAGTAGAATTAAATTTCAGTCCAAGAACAGGCGTCCCCCCCTCGCAAAATACTATGCTAAATATCAGTAGGTTCGAACAAACCAAAATCAGTACTAAAAAGGATCTTTGAAACACCATTCCGCTGAAAATGTAAGTTTTAGCACAGAGAAAACCCAAAAGCCCGCCACGAGTGGAATGAAACCCAAATAAGGGCGAAAAAATCAAACAGAAACGATTCCCTCCAAAACGACCCAGAATAGCAAGTCCCGAACCGGAGCAGCTAAGCAATCCGCACCTCCGCTGGAGGGGCCGGAGGCGTAGATGGCGCTCTCGGCGCTAGGGGCGTCCGGCGCGTTCCTCGCCGCCCACATGATATAGCCGGAGAAGTTCCGGACGGGCTTCCGCGACTCCCTTATCAGCCGCAGCACCCGCAGCGCGGCCGCCTCGCCGATGTCCGCGAGCATCTGCCGCGCGCGCGGGTCGGCGTGCTGATCCAGCCGCGCCTCGATCTGCTGCAGCTCCCAGCCCACCGCGGCCGGGAGCGGCGGGGCCGGCGGAGCGCGCATTTGCGCCGGGGAGGCCGGGCCGGAGGTGCTCATTAGGGTTTAGTGTTTAGGTCCTCCGCTCGCGTGAGGCGGAGGAGCCAAAGGGAGACGGCGGCGGGGCGTGCTCTTCCCTCTCCTCTCCACTCTCTGCCGAAGCTTTCTTGGACGATGACAGGAAAGAGTTTGGGAACAGGGGCGCCAGAGCAGAGGAGGAGTATACGGCTTCAAGGCTTCGAGGAGAAGGAGGTGGTGCGGCAGGTGGGCCCGGCGTTCCTTAAAAAAAGAAGAATGGCTGCACGCTGCAGCCCGAGGAGTCCACTCGTTTGGCAGTCTGTGCAGCAGCTAGAATAGGCTAGTAGAAAATGCGTGAGCAGTCAATTCAAGCAGTCAAACAATGACCTCTTTTAACTCCATTCGACCCTTACTGCCGCCTGGTTTATTAGTTTTTTTATTTTGTGCAAAATTTTGACCTTACATTTAACTAATAAAATGTTAATTCATGTCATAAAAAATAATATAATTAAAAATTATGTTCAAATACGAATTCAGGGATATAATTTTTAGTGACATGCATTAATATTTTGCTATTTAAATTTATAGTTAAAATTTAGCATAAACTATAAAAAAGACTTGTAAACAAAGACCGAGGTACTCCCTCCGTCGAGGTGCATAAGGAATGTAAGAAGAAACACTGTGATTTAGGCGCGTAGAGATTGGGTGAGGTGAAAATTAAATGATCTATTTTATGGGCAGCTAGCGCGTCATCCAAACATGGCAGCCAACCAACTTGCTTGTTAATACTTTTTCTGTTCTTAAATATAAGTCTTTTTAGATATTCCACAATGGACTACATACGGAGTAAAATGAGTGGATCTACACTCTAAAATATGTCTATATACATCCGTATGTAGTTTGTAGATGAATCTCTAAAAAGACTTATATTTAGAGCATCTCCGGTCGTTGGCCCCCCTAGGGGGCTTGAAAAATCGCTGCCTATGGGCGAACCGGCGCTAAAATCGGCTTGTGGGCGATTGGGTTCCCAGCCGCCGCCCCCAGGTCGACCCCAGGCGCCGATATCGGCCCAATTTTAATGCAAATTTGCCTGCTTTTCAGCCCACTTTCGGCGCAAAAAGGGCCCACTATCGGCCCATATTCGCCGTGCTTCAGCGCAAATTGAACATAAGTTATTTTTTATCACATAGTTCATCACAGAAAATCAGTAGAAATCAAATAGTTCAATACAAATTATATAGTTCAACAAATAAAAACTCATATTTCATCACACGTCGTGCTAGGCATTGCCCTTGAGCCTCCATAGGTGCTCCACCAGATCCTGCTGCAGTTGTTGATGCACTTGTGTGTCTCAGATCTCCTGACGCATATTAATGAAGGCAGTCCAGGTTGCCGATAGCTGGTGATCAACTTGGGCAAGAGGACCCTGCATGTAATATGGTTCAGTGTCAAATACTGGCTCTTCCTACTCGCTCTCAATGATCATGTTGTGCAAGATGACACAACAAGTCATGATCTCCCACATTTGATCTTTCGGCCAGGTCTGAGCGGGGTACCGGACAATACCAAATCGAGATTGGAGCACACCAAATACCCGCTCGACATCCTTACTGCAAGCCTCCTGAACCTTCACAAAGTGGGAGTTCTTGCCTCTTGGCACAGGGTTTGAGATAGTCTTCACAAATGTAGACCATCTCGGATAGATGCCATCTGCTAGGTAGTATCCTTTGTTGTAGTGTCGCCCATTGACCTCGAAGTTCACCGGAGGAGAATGACCTTCAGCCAGCTTGGCAAAGACAGGAGAGCATTGTAGCACGTTGATGTCATTGTGAGTTCCTGGCATACTAAAGAAGGAGTGCCAAATCTAGAGGTCATGTGTGGACACTGCCTTAAGTACCACACTACAACCGCCTTTGGCGCCTTTGTACATCCCCTGCCAAGCAAATGGACAGTTTTTCCATTTTCCAATGCATGCAGTCGATGCTTCCAAGCATCCCAGGAAATCCTCTTGCTGCATTCTGTGCTAAGATCCGAGCAGTGTCTTCAGCATTGGGTGATCGCAAGTATTGCGGTCCAAACACTGTCACCACTACCCTGTAGAACTTGTAGAAACACTCAATGGTCACAATACATGGTATAATTTTTTTTCTTTTAATTCAATCTTCGCCAATTGCAATTTATTTAGCTCAAATTTACAGCATTAGGTAATTTTTGTGTTCAGCGTCTAGACTACCTGGATCCGTTCAAATTTGTGTTCTTGTATTTATCTATGGGTACTAGCAAACAAAATTTCATATTGATATTTGCCACATATAGATCACAAAGTTGAAGTACTAGTATAGATCTCACAAAACAATAAATGAAAACCTCCAAGTTACTACCTCTATGTTACTACCCGCTATGGAGGTAGTAACATAGAGTAGTAACATATGCATGTTACTACTCTATATTACTCCCCACAATGGCTAGTCTTATACTCTTAGGCTTTTTCAAGTGCTCCATGGTGTACAGGGTGCTAAGGGTGCCACATAGGCAGAAAAATAGTGTGGCAAAGCAATTAAAGAGAAGAGAAAGCATTATAGTGACCCAAAAAAACCAATACTAAGCACGTGGACCTATACAAAAGGACTACCAACCGATACATGAAGGAGTTTTGTCACTAATAAAGGTGGCTTAGCTACAAAAGGTAAGCACTGATGCATTGGGGACATTAGTTGTTAAACATTTTAATGCACATAGCACCTCTTAACACCTCCCCCAATGCAAAGGTGCTTATGCTTCTTTGTTTGGGCTGCAGACTCCTGAGAATCGGCTGCGTGTTGGATTCCTAAAATCAGCTATGGCTGCAGATTCCGAGAATCAGAAGCAGGTTCTTTGTTTACCCGGCTTTAGAGAAATTGAAAGTGTTGTCAAATGTCTAGAACACCCCAAATGTGCTAATGTGCAATAACAAAACTTGCATGACATGGCCACTAGCAGAACGATGTGGGTGGTGGGGGGCAGGTTTACCGGAGGTAGGTGGACTACCCTATCAGAGTATGGTGGCCGGAGCTCAGAGAGGGGCGGGCATATGCGGATATCGGAGGCGGCGGGTCACAGGCGGATTTCATGGGCAGCGGTAGTGGCGGGGCTCCATGGCCACAGTAGGGCGGAGGCGAAGGTTTTGGCACTGGATCCACCCGTTCCATTGCCGGAATAGGGGGGTGGAGGAGTTGGCATCAGATCCACCCGTTTTGGAGTCGATGGGAAGAAGGTAGCAACGTTGAAAGCTACTCGAGCCCCGCATCGCCTCTCTCTCTCTCTCTATGTGTGTGTGTGTGTGTGTGTGTGTTCGTACAGGGTAGACGATAACTTGTGGTGGAGAATTTGGGTTAGGGGAGGAGCGACTTCTTGTTGTAATAATGGGTAGAACTTGGGCCAAACTTCAAGTTGGGTAAGTGGCAGCTCGGGAATCATCGAGAATCACCAAATTCGCAGCTTCGACTTGGACGTGAGTGGTAGTTCATTTTCTAGAAGCGATTATAGGAAGCTGGGGTGAGAATTTGTATGTCTGTTTTGGATACTAATTTTATGAGGCCTAGAATCTGGCAATCTGTAGCTGAAGCCCAAACAAAGTCCACCTTAGACGGGGTGCTAAGGGCATTAAATAACTTAGCAACTCAACCCCTCAATGCATATGTGCTTAAATTGTTATTATACTCTATTTAATGATTTAGCACATAAACTCATCCATGCATTGGTTAACTTCTTTCATTTAAGTTGTTTGCCTAGGTTCACATGCTTGGCATTGGTTCTTTCTGGGGTCACCAAAGTGCTCCCTCTTCCCCTTAATTACCGTGTCATGTTATTTTAATGCTTATATGGCATGCTTAGCACCTCTCTACCATGGAGCAATGGGAAGGGCCTAGAAATCCTGAATTCTCTAAGATGCCCTATGCACCTGGATGGAGGGAGTAGTGCTCATCAGTGGTACAACTGCTTGGCGACCTTCTCTACAGGATCCCTTTTCGGATGAATTTGTGTGCTCCTTCTTTGCATGTTTCGTTGATAGCAAGTGAGCAATGCAAGGGCAACTCCAACGCGGTTCATCAAATCATCTTAATGTTTGGATTAAATGGTCCACATATAGTTTTTGTCATTCGACATGAGTCGACAAATGTTCGCTGACACGGGCAGATATTCAAAATCACACACTTGTCTCCTAAGGTTTTTTTGGAAAACGTTCGATCTATTCACCCTCAATTATGGAAGTACAATGAACACCAAAAATAATATAAAATACATCCAAATACGTTGACCATGTAGCGCGGTGACGGCTGCAGGGGTTTTCCTAGGAATTCCATGGAATACCCAAGATTCTGACCCTAACCCTAAACACTAATACCCAAAGCGGCAGAGCAGCCCACCCGCCCCGGTACTGTACTGACCCTTCCGTCAGCCGACTGCATCCACGGGTCCAGCCCACACGACACACGACACATGACACAAACGAGTAGGTCGCCCTCCTCCCAGTCGGCCAGCCACGGCGCCGACCGACGAGGCCAGCAACACGCGCACGCCGGGCTAGCAGCTGGTAGCAAGCTATTCCAGGCAGTGGAGGTGACGACCCTCTCCCTCCGTCACTCCTAGTCCCAGTGTAAAACGTAGGTTTTGGGAGAACTGGCTCAACCCTCTATGGGTTGTGAGGGAGTCCTGGATTAAGGGGTCCTCGGACAGCCAGACTATATGCATATGTCGAACTGTTGGACTATGAAGATACAAGATAGAAGACTTCGTCCCGTGTCTGGATGGGACTCTCCTTTGCATGGAAGGCAAGCTTGGTGGTTAAGCTATGAAGATTCCTTTCTCTATAACCGACTCTGTATAACCCTAGCCCCCTCCGGTGTCTATATAAACCGGAGGGTTTAGTCCGTAGGACAAGAACAATCATAACCATAGTCCATAGGCTAGCTTCTAGGGTTTAGCCTCTCCGATCTCGTGGTAGATCAACTCTTGTAATACTCATATCATCAAGATCAATCAAGCAGGAAGTAAGGTATTAC